ATCCATAATACCGAGCCTAAGGGTTAACAACTCATGGCTTCTGGATACTAAAAAAAAAAAGTATGGGTGTATCCAGGGATCAATGTCAATTGTGAAAAACAAATAATACTGTTGCGGATTCGAACACATGACCTTAAGCTTAAGTCAGATGGCGAGCGTCTTGCCACTACATAAACACGGTTCCCACACACGCATATACTTCAAGTCCAATATTGTTAAAAACTAACTGGCAGCCGATGTCTGTTACCGTTAACGTCAGGCGCCTTTACTTGCGGTGACATTTTCCTGGTAGCGATTGTTGACGGCAGATATGTGAGCCAGGGTGACATTCTAAGAGAGAAAAGATATAATAACCGCTCGTTGCCAACTTGATCTCATTTCTCCGGGACCAGAAGTTAAGTGTGGCAGCCACTAAATAGATTTAGCATTTGAACCCATGCCAGAAAGTACTAGGGATAACATCTCGTCCACAGGGTAGGGTCTGCTACAGATTTGTCTGCCTGGCGAAGTGGTCGTTTGCCGCGGGTTTTGAAGGTCATGGAATCGTTTCATTTACGCCGAGTTCAGTTCACGGGTGCACATTTTAGAAAGATCCCTGGGAATCGTCTTTGAAGACAGATAGTTTATTTTTCGTTCGACGCCTTCGGCAGACCGAGAGAGACCGAGCTATAATCATCATCAGGTGCCTTGCCGACTGGCGTGGGCGATCACGCCTCTCCATAATCTGCGATCTCTTGCAGCATGTATCAGTTCGTGTGCCGACACACCTCCATGCCATGCAACAAGACTGTCAAACATTTTCTCTCGTTGTCTTCCTCTATCCCTCCTTCCACAGATCTTTCCAGTGGTCATATGTTCTATTTTCCCTCTTCTCATAACATGGCCGAAAAATGATGACTGTCTCCTTCTGACCGAGCTATATGGGATAAAAACCCAGTGCCATAAAGTCCTCTTAACTTGACTCAGGCATCAAAGCTCACTTCAGCCTCGTTCAGTTATTTTAAATAGTGCAGGCACAAACAACAGACGGAGAAAAACATGCACGAGGAGGAAGACAAGAAGAAAGAGAAGAAAAGAAGAAGGAGAAAAAGTAAAAGGAAGTAGTAGTGAGACTACAGTAGTGGTGGTGATGGTGGTGGCGACGGAAAGTGATAGTGGTAGCAGCAGTAAAAAAAGTGTTTCATTAACCCCTAAAGAACTGTTGTTTTAATATCAACACAAACGTTACATAATATTACAATTGTTAATATGTGAAAAGCTAAAGTAACAACCGTCTTGAACAGACAGCTAAGCAGAACACACAAAGAATCACACAACAACAACAACAGCAGCAGCAACGCTATGACACAACCTGCGATGTTGATAGTGACGGCATTGCTGGAAGTGACAGTACTGAGTCCCTGGACGGCCCTGCACGTGTACACGCCCGAGTCGCCGTCCTTGCCCTGCTTGGCGTTGGAAATCTGGTGATGTGAACAGACAGAAACAACTACATTACATCCGCTTGTTCTAGCTAGCAGAAACAACACCTTTGTTTTTTAGAGACAAATACAGGAAATATGGAGCCAGGGTAAATCATGCTGGTCCTCTCTGAAACGAGAGCATCTGTTTCTATAAAAAGCCCTGGCATCTTCTTGGTAATACGTTCAATAATGAGATGGTGTTAGACCTAAGTTTTCTGAAGAAGTCAGATGTTTGTAGGTCGCTGGAAGCGAACTCATTTTGGTTAGCCGGAGTGCTTAGCACATGGTCTGTGTGAACACGATGTTGCTTGTTAAAATATTGTTATCCGTGAAGAACGTTAGTTTTATGGTCGGGAAAATAAACAGATGGTCAGTGTGACGATTATAGTTCCAGTTGTTTTAATTCGGTATAGGACTTGTAGTTAGTGTGCTTATCTTTACTATTTATTTAAATACAAACAATACATTGCACAATTTATTGCCAGGCATATTTCTCTGTATCTCGTCAGGTTCGTTACTACAGAGTTACATCAACATAAAATGAAGCACAAAACTAAATAAATCCAACTGAAATGCCAATAGTTTCTTTCGACACATCGTGTGTGTTTTGGCCTCCGGAAGCTCACCGTAGTCACGTGACTTACTTCAAATTTACTATAAATTCCGTCTGCTTACATAGAGGGGGTTGTTGATTTTGTTTGTTTATTACTGCTAACTAGACCTCATACAGAACATCTCAAGTGAGGGCAAGGGCAAAATAGGTCTTTGTCGCCGCCTAACGAACTTGTTCTTTTTCCTTAATTACAAAGACAGCTCGTGTGTGGGTTTCGGCTTCCACTTACCACGAAATGTTTGTGTTGTCTAGTGTGTCCTTCTATCTTTCTGTTTCTTTCTATAAGTGCCAATCAATTCATTTTCTGTTTGTTTATTATATTTAGTATATACCAATGAATGAACGACCGATTTTTACTCACCGTGTAGGATCTCTTAGGTAACTGGATAAGTATGCTTCCATCTTTCATCCACACATAATAGACACTGTCCGTGTGTGAAGCTGTTCTACAGATAAGCATGTAGGAGCCTCCCGCGGGGTAGACTTGTTGTCCGGAAAAAAGGCTGTAGTTGTACACTTCCACAACTGGCGCCTCCAAAGTCGCTGATGGCAGAAAACAGTGCAGTTTTAGAGGATTTAACCTTTTCAGTCGCAAGATATGATTACTTCAGCATCGTCTGCCACACGGTTTATTGACTCAAGAGTCACACTCTTTGCCACCGTCGCCGAAGCCCGGTAGTGTTGGCCTCTCGAGCGTACCCTGTCCCTCCCCGACAGCCCAAAGTTGTTTCCGGACCATATATAGGATTCCTTGTTTGAATATTTGTATATAAATACATTTCGTATTATTTCACACACATCATTATATTTCTTGTCATTCAGTGCGGTGTCCGTGGCTAAGGCGTTGCGAGTCCGACTCGTAATTCAAACGTACCGCGATCGGAACCCACTGCTGGCTGCGTGGAATTTTATCGTGGTATGGGGCGTCGCAGGTCGACCCAGCCTAAAATGGGTACCAGGATGTATGTCTTGGGGAAGTAAAGACGGTCGGCGTAATGCAAACCAAATTACCCACCTAGTGCCGAATGGTCTGTAAAACTATGGGTGCTCTTCCCATATGCCCGTGGCACTTAAAGGCGTGAAAAAAGATCTTTACTTTATTGTCATTCAGTGTGTTATGTATGTACAATGGCACACTTAAACAAGGTTTAGGTCCGTCACCTGAGTGCCCTGCTCTGCCCCTCACGTTAAAGAATGTCTCAGTTGGCCTTGATACCCCACTGCGATTATTTCTTTGTTTTCTGGCTCCCCCTGCTTTGATTTCTTTCAGTACCACAACATTAGGCTGACCAGATTGTCTATAGATGAAAACTGAACATTTCACCAATATTTTGAGCTGAAAACGGAACATTTCACCAATATTTTGAGCTGAAAACGGAACATTCCACTTATGCTTCGAGCTGAAAAGATTTATATTCTGAGCTAAACATGGACATCTTGAGACAAGCCAGCTTGACTCCACCCCATCCGATTTTTTTCTAGGTCACCAAGAAGAAAGGGTTAATTACTCTTGCGGCAAAAGCGCTGAACCATTGTTGCCAATAAATCAACGAAGCAATATGCACCACAACTGTAATGGTGGGGAAAGGGGGAGTGGTGGTGGTGGTGTGGCCCCGGTTGGGGGGGGGGGGGTGGAGAGCACATGCTACAATTAAAATATTTATAAATACATTTCAGGCGTTAAAATTATCTAGAACTATGATATCATCATCTACATCATTTATCATCCTTGTAATTCATCATCATCTTTATCATGTGCCTTGTCGATAAACGTAAGGGAATCATGGTTTTCCATTCAACACGACCTTGTTTTTTTATTGGAAGACTGTGAAAAAAAAGGGGCGGGGCGGGGGCCACAGGGGGCATTGAAAGTGTGATTGCACTTATGAGAAACCCTGTACATAGGCTCCCGATCTATCCCTCCACCCAGGTTCTTACCTACAGACGTGACGATGACCTTTTCAGAGGTCGCGGTTTCGCTGCCCAGTGTTGCAGTACATTTGATCTCGCCGTCAGAGGCGGTTCCAGCAGTGAACTCATAACTGTCATCTGCTTGGTCTGCCAACTTTTGGTCGTTCTTTAGCCAGCCGTAGGTGATGGTTCCAGAACTGCTGGCTGCTGTTATGGCTTTGCATTCCAGTGAGACTTTGCCGGAATTTAGAGGCTTGATCGTGGTGTTGGAGACTGTTGTGCCTGCCAGGGTGACTATCACAGAGATGATGTCTGGTAGTTAAGGAAACATAGAATATATAAAACAATGTTTTCCCGTAAAGAATTTAAATGTTACAGACAAAAACAGTACATTGCGAAATTTATTGCAGCAAAATATGCCGGGTAATAAATGGTACAATGTATTGTGTATATCTGTGCATTATTTAAACATAACATATAATAACAAACATAGACCGGTAGCCAAAAGAGAAACAGACAGAAAGACAGCAGGCAGAAACAAAACAGCCCTTGAACAGAAACATGCTCTTGTTCAGTAATTTATAAATCTTTAATCTTTATTGTCGTTTTATCGTTGTTTATGATTTCAGTCAAGTTTTCTTTTCTGGCTATTGCTTCTGTAATTTTTTTTAAAAATTTGTTCATTATGGTTTTAATTTTGCAATCCTTTTTTTTCCAATTGTATTCCCTCGCTGCTGTTGTGTGTGTTGTTGTTTGCTGTTATGTGTTTATTTCAAAGTGAGATCTTGTTCCTGTTTCGCTGGCTGGTCTTGCTTGTTGTTCATTGTCTGGCTTGCTGTTAACTGTTTTCTTTTGTTACCGCTGCTTTCACCTTCAACGAGCATTAAAAAAAATTAATTAATTAATAACCACACGAGTTGAAAATATAGACAAATGGAAAACGTACAGATTTGAACTGCTCCAACAGATCATTCACCACTCCATCATATTGTTTTTTTTTTTGTTGTTTTGTTTCCCTCCTCCTCTACTACTAATTTCAGGACACACCTATCTGATTTACTTACTTTTGGCAGCCACCGTTAAGCCTTTGCTGGATAAAGAGGACATTTTGTTGAAGACAATCTGGCAGGTGTACACGTTAGTTCCAGATTTGGCTTGCAGCGTGTATGTCATGCTGGTCGCCCCTGAGTATTGATAATTTAAATTATTGGTCATTGAAAGAAAACATGCATAGGTCGTCACGAGATTTCCTATTTGCTTCTAACTGATAATACTTTCTGTTCATGAGGTTGAAATTATACTTTTTGCGAATATTTGTAATAAGGGTTTTCTGACTGTACTCAACGGTTTCCCAGAATACCACGCGCCATGAACAAAAGAACTGCTTACACCCTAAAACATCTGACCATCAAGAAAGATTGACTATTAAACAGCACCTTATCTCGGAAACAGTTTGGCCATATCAAACGATGCAGCGGGATTGGAAAGAGTATTAGTCGAACACATGGTGCCAGGAAAGAGTGGCAGGGTCAGAACAGCATGAAGATGGGCAGATGTTATAAGAAGCCGCTTGGGCAGGAAAGTGCGCGAGGCAGGAGAGCTGGTGAGAGACCAAACTTATTTCAAGCGGGCGACCATGAGAACGATGTTCTGCAAAGGACCTGATGATTACCACACAGTAGGCAGTAACCGAGCTGGCGAGAGACCGAGTTCTTTTCAGGCAGACCTTGATGAGAGCGACGTTCTGCAAAGGATCTGCTACATGATGATGATGTGTCAGTATTCGCACCATTTTAGACATCGGCTTTTACTTTTATGTTCAGTTCTACTGAAACAGACGCTCTGTGGCAATTACTGGTGTCTATTTTTAACACACTTGAGAACCTTTCTGTTCTAAAGAAAAGACAAGAGTCCTGTTTCTAAATATCATCATCTTGTTGTGCTATACGTCACATAGAGTCAGCAGCCTATTTCTCCACTCCACTCTCTCTACTGTATGTTACAGTTATACATCACATAGAGTTAGCAGCCTATTTCTCCACTCCACTCTCTCTACTGTATGTTACAGCTATACATCACATAGAGTTAGAAGCCTATTTCTCTACTCCACTTTCTCTCTATTAAATGCTATAGCTATACATCACATAGAGTTAGAAGCCTAGTTCTCCACTCCGTTCTCTCTACCAAGTGTTACAGTTATACATCACATAGAGTTAGAAGCCTAGTTCTCCACTCCGTTCTCTCTACCAAGTGTTACAGCTTTACATCACATAGAGTTAGAAGCCTAGTTCTCCACTCCGTTCTCTCTACTATATTTTACAGCTATACATCACATAGAGTCAGCAGTCTATGTCTCTACTCCGTTATCTCTACTATATTTTACAGCTATACGACACATAGAGTTAACAACCTATTTCTACAATCCATTCTCTCTATTATATTCTATACCTATACGTCACATTAAGTTATACGCCTACCTCTACACTCCATTCTCTTTATTTTATTCTATAGCCATACGACACATGGAGTTAGCAGCCTATATCTACACTCCGTTCTCTAAACCAACCCTCCTCCTTTCTCATCTGGAATTAGGACCGGCGGTGAAAAAGATATTTGTAAACAAGAGTTGGCACTGAGTAGATAATATACTGCCAGTAAAAACCCCTGATTATTATTATTTTTTAATTTGTAATAATATTTCGAATAAAACAAAACCTATGCTTCTGCCCCCCACCCAACCACGCCCTCTTTTTTCCATCCCCCGCTTACAGTGTTTTGCGTGTGTGCTGTTTCCCTCTCGTGTATCGATATTGAAAAAGACTTTAGATCAAATATTTGCCTGTCTCTCTTTCTTGACGATGTTTTCGGTGACATTTTGTGTCCTGTTATCAAACGAATCAAAGAGCAATACCGACCTGCGATGACCTGGGTCCCTTCCATCCACTTGTAGGTCACTCCAGGACTGTCGTACCAGCCGCATGTCAGAGTATAGCTGTTGCCCACGCCGAAGAAGTCTGGGTCAGGCTTGTTTGAGGTCGGGGCATTCGGCACCACAGTCTCTGTGGTAATCAGAAAGGACAAAGAAAGATAGAAACAACAAATGTCAAATGATCTGTGTACTCATTGACCCATCCGTACATGGGTACCAGGTAAAAGTTCAAGGAAGTAAAGGTGACCAGTGTGCTGTTGGTTACATTAGTGTGCCGATAAGAGTGTAGAAATAGGAGTCGAGCTTCATATGCCCCATGCGTCATTAGATGTTGACTGTGTTTACTATTATTTTATGTTTTTTTAATGTTACAATATTTGTATTAGTTAGTTAGTTAGTCTTTCCTCTTGTGTCGAGTGCGGCACATAGGGCAGAGGTCATGACTCTCCATGCACGGCGGTCCGTTGCAATCCGTTGTAGGTCTTGGATGTTTGAGTGGCCCATGAGCGAGCCTTCCCTGATGATAGTTCTACGTAGGGTTTCCCTTGGTCTTCCACGAGATCTTTTTCCCTGTGGTGTCCAAATGAGGGCTTGGTAAGGAAGTCTTGATTTATCCATTCTAAGGGCGTGGCCGACATAGTTCCAGCGGCGTTTTCGTATAAAATTAGACACATACTCTTGCCTGGATTCTTGCCTTATTTGTATACTTATATATAAATATATGTATAGGAAAATATGGTCAGCTTCTCGGAAAATGCGTCTGGTTAAGGATTTTCTGAATTCGGATGTTTAGGACAGTAATGTGCAAATATCGCAGCTTAGCCTAAAATCACAACGTGCCGCTCTCTCTTTTTCCTTGCCTCCACCTCTCTCTCCCCTTTCTGTCTGTCTGTCTGTCTGTCTGTCTGTCTGTCTGTCTGTCTGTCTGTCTGTCTGTCTGTCTGTCTGTCTGTCTGTCTGTCTGTCTGTCTGTTTGTCTGTCTCTCTCTCTCTCTCTCTCTCTCTCTCTCTCTCTCTCTCTCTGGCTGATAGGCAATGTAATGTAGCTTCCTCTCTTGACAATACCATACTGACTGATGAATTTAGTCACTATTTCCATTTTTTTAAATAAAAGCTTCCGTTACTTTAGTCGTGGGCACTTTGTGGGTGAGGTAATCAGCTTTTACTTCCCAAAATTTTTACCCGATTAGGTAGAGTGTTCTAGGAGTCAGATCCATCATCATCATCATGTAGAAGATCTTTTGCAGAACGTGGCACTCGTCAAGGTTTCCCTGAAAGAAACTCGGTCTCTTGCCATATCTCCCGCCTCGTGAACTTTCACACCCAAGTGTCCCTTACATTATGTGCCCATCTTCGAGCTGGGTGACCCCTGCACCTTCTTTTTTGGTGCACTGCCTTCTGCTAATATTTTTCCACATCTGCCGTGGCGCTTGATATGGCCAGATATTCCAGGTTCAGAGACAAGATGCTGTTCACTAACCAATATTTCAGGATGTCAGTCCAGGCTTTAAAATAACTGCTTCGCTAAAGATTCAAACCTCTGTGCCTATAGCCACATCTCCCAACCATTATTTACACGATTTGTGATGAATACACAGAGCGGTATTTTTTCTAGAAAAAAAAAATAATAAACAGGTGCCAGTACTCGCCACAATGTGTGTAAAAAGACAGGATAAAATAGCTTTTAAAGGTGCATGTACTGCCCACAAAGTGTAGAAAAATTATGTCTGTATTCATTACAAAGTATCGAGAAAGAACTTTGCTGGCACTTACCTCAGAGTGTCTAATAAAAGTGCCAATACTGATCACAAAGTATCTAAGAAAGGTGCCAATTCTAACCACAAAGTGTCTAAAAAGGTGACAATATTAACCACAAAATGTCTAAAAAGGTGCCCACAATCACTTAACAATGTGTCTTTAAAAAAGGGTAAGTCGATTCCCCGAGACACCCTAGTAGTGTGTATGAGATACATTCTTGGTTTACCAGCTGTTGCGTGTAGGCTAAGTTGTGCAGGCGAAGTCACACTTAAGAGTAGCTGCAGACACTGATCACCCTTTGCACAAAGCGTTGGATACATTGAGTCTGCGACTGATAAGAGGGAAATCATGAATAGCTCAGGTGGAAGACACGGTCAGACAGGTTTGCATCCTGGAGACAATTAGGAGAGGAGTGGGTCACAGTGCCAGCGGAACAGTCAGATTTGTGTAGAGTCATAATAACTTTGAGCCTAGGGTGGCCAGCATGTGCCACGAAGGCGGAAACAGTAATTAATTTAGGACAACGCTCGTTCGGTGATGTGATTATTTAAACAGATGGTTCAGTGTTAAAAGACAAAAGAAATGCTTGTGGGTTCCTAACAAAAGCAAATGATCGACGTTTAGTGCAGGAGAGCCTAGCGCATGGTACCACATCCCCCAGCTTAACTCTTTGAGTCCCAAAGAACGCATCACACGTTCATAGATTACTACCTAGATACCAAATGAACGCAAGATGCGCCAATTTTACATCTCTTTTGACTACCCCTTGGGCCTGTGATGCTGAACCCCCTGGGACTCAAAGAGTTAAGAATGGAGTCACCAGATGTCTAGAGCAGGGGTTCTCAAACTGGGTGCCGTAGCAATAATCAAGAATATTTTTTTCGAAATCTGCCAGATATCAGCGAAAACAGCAATTTAAAACAGAAATACCATGAAGAAAGCCAAGAAGAGTTCTGGATGCAGGTGTGTTCAGAAGACAGCAATATAAAACAGAAATACCATGAAGAAAGCCAAGAAGAGTTCTGGATGCAGGTGTGTTCAGAAGACAGCAATATAAAACAGAAATACCATGAAGAAAGCCAAGAAGAGTTCTGGATGCAGGTGTATTCAGAAGACTACAGTATAAAACAGAAATACCATGAAGAAAGCCAAGAAGAGTTCTGGATGCAGGTGTATACAGAAGACAGTGTTATTTGGCAAGGCTTCAGTGCATTCTCAACGTACGCTTACATAAAAAGATACAGGAGCAAACTTTCCGGGTCAAGTGATTTAAAGATTACGTTAACTAAACTTCTCATAAACATAAAGGAAATAATCAAACATTTATCCAGACAGTTTCATTCCTCGTATAAAAACAACTGAACATTAAATGTGCACTGTTCCCCCAACCCCCCCCCCCCCTTTCTTTTCCTAAGTATCTAAACCGCTTAAGGGGTAGATGTACTGCGAAATGTTTGTTTTACCTACAAGAGTGCCGCGGCGAAAACAAAGTTTGGGAACTGCTGCTCAAGGAAACACGATACACGAACACACATCTGATTTCAACAGGCTCAGAAAGCATGCTGAGGAAGGTGAGGGCAACCATGCTTCCTGCAGAGTGGTATGCTTCGCTTCGGAGGTCACGGGTTAAGAGCATTGTCTGGATCTTTTTTCTGAGCAATGCCGGTGTTTTGGGAAATGAACAGGCGGGAATACTGGCTGGTTCTGCATAACTTGGTGGAAGACTGATGCATGTTAAGACAGACGTGGTTAACATTTTATGGGAGCACGTGTACGATTTGAAACAGAAAGTTGGTCATGACAGTCTGGTGAGAGTGATGCAGCGAGGAGTGACAAGGGGATCTGGCCGATACTCGACGCTCAGAGGAAAGATAAGAACGACACATTATCAGACTGCTACTGGCACTACTTGAACAGCCTTAAAAGTCTATGGTTAAGTACCAGCAAGGAGATAACAATTAGAATTTTGAGAGCATGCATCTTCCCCGTGGCTACATACGGATGTGAGTCGTGGACTATCTCTCAGTCCTCAAGAAAGAGAATAGGGGCTTTTGAGCTGAAATGCTATAGAAAGATTCTCAGAATATCTTGGACAAAGAAGATGAGAAATATTGACATCTTAAATGATTTGAACATCAAGGAAGATTAGCTAATAAACAGCATCCTTTCTCGAAAGCTGAAATATTTTGGTCATACCAAGCACCACGACGGATTGAAAAAAAATTATAGCAGAAGGCATGGTACCAGGAAGGAGGGGCAGGGGCCGACCGACACAAAGATGGGCACAGTATATAAGTGACTCCTTGAGTGTGAAAGTACATGGGGTGGGAGAACTGGCGAGAGACCGAGTTTCTTTCAGGCAGACTGTGATGAGACCGACGCTCTGCAAAGGAACTGCTACATGATGATGATGACTAGCACTACTGGTATTGGAACTCTGCGGTGGCTGCTGAAGATGGGGACGGAGCGCTTATTGGAATGCCACGAGTCCTATGATATAGGGTCTTGAATCAAATCAGCTAAACTCAGTTTTATGTACCATCAGAAGAAGAAAACAAAGAGCTGTACCCACCTACAGCTACTGGTGTGTTGATCGGGATATTCAGCTTGCCTGAAGTGGACTCCACTGATATGTAGCATATGTAAGTCCCGCCGTCCTTCGCAGTGACCTCATTGATCTGAAAGATGATTGTAAAAGTTAAGGACTGTCTTCCACACCTCCAAACAAATTTGGCATAAAATCTTCCAGTCGGTACTCGGTAGGTGATGTGGTCAACATCACACCGACCGCCTTTACTTCTGAGGACTTTTCCTGGTACCCATTTAAGGCTATTCCGATCTGGGAGCCAATGGCACCTTTTTTAATGTCTGCCTCTGTTCGGATATGAACCCACGACCTTCGTTACATCACGGCGGCTCCCCATCCGCAAGGTAGAGTCGGCAGATAAATAGGGGCAACAATGATGTTGAAATTATGTCCTGTGTGGGGTATGGGGCCTTCTTCACAGAACGTTGCTCTCGTCATGTCAGACTTAAAGGGATCTCTTTCTCTAGCCAGTTCCCCAGCCCTATCCAATACATCTTCAGTGTCTTGTATCATCCACCTTCACCGTTGTGGGCCTCTACATGGTTTTCCCCAGAAACTGTACCCTTCATCCATTTTTGTTGCCCCCCCCCCCCCACGCTCAAAAAAACCACCATGACTTTTACTATAGTAGAAATATATCATCATTTGCGGCAGGATGCTGTTTATGAGCAAATTATCCCCAGTGTTTAGATCAAGTAGGATGTCAACATCTTCTTCTTCTCTGTCACTGTTATTCCAAGAATTTTTATGAAACGCCAATGTGGCACCGCTACGTAATGAAAAGCAGAGGACAACAAACTTATAATTTCTGTTGAACCTTTACAAGAGGGTACCTAAAGTCAATGATCTAAAAACTTGCAAGCTTACAAAGAATTGCTAACTAAGGTTGGATCCCAGTACTAAATTCAAAGAGGGGGAGGTGATATGTCTGTAGACAAAGCATCTATACTAGATTTTCCCGGGGTTTTCTAGGGTTAATACCCTTACAGGCCATTCATAGTTGACTTAACATCATGGCGGGAAAACACAGGACAGTGAACCCAGTTCAATCAAAAAGAGAGGCAGAACAGAATAGCGTTGGCAAGTATACACACTGCGAGCGAATGCCTAGAAGGTCACTTGCGCTGAGACTGAGACCAAGGAAGGTTTTCTGTGGGTGAATGAACCTGTCTTGTGGTAGTCAGTATTATGAAACTGAGTCCATAGTTCCGTTATGGAATTTGTGACATGAAAGTAAGGCAACGATTTACTGGGTTGGCTGTAGAGTAGACGTTGGAGTTAATTGTTAGTTTATCGCTGAATACGGTAGATTCTGCAGTCAGTGGTAATAAATGGTAAGTTGTTGTACTATTTGAGGTTCAGTAGTGTGAGTACCGATTGGATTCACTCTCGCTATAACTTGTTATAAAATCTTGTATATTATGGTGTGTCTTGGGGTTGTTGGCGTAATAAGAGATATACGATTTCGTAATTCTGTTTCTTAAAAAATACAATTATTAATTATTACTCTTTTATTTCATCGTTAGTTTGTAGAGTACTGGTGTTGTATCATTATTTAGTCGTCGTAGTCTTTACACCACTTTACTGTACTCTGGGTTAAACCTTCGCTGATTAATACCTGATCTTCTGGGGTAAAGACTTATTACTACACTCCCAAAATAGGAGGACCTTTTATCTTCTCATTCACCCTTTAACTATTATTATTCTCGTCTGTCTCTTTCTCTTGGTTTCTTTTTAATGTCCCCTATTTTGATCCCCTCTGCCTGATCTGAAAATGTTGAACTCCTTGGCAGGTGCTGTGCCATGTTATCCTCGCTGTTTAAAGAAATGACCAGTAGTTTTAACATATTTAATTGTTTTTGTTTTTATCATTATGAAACCCGTATTGTATTAGCGTCCTGGCATGAGAAGAATCATCATCATCATCATCATCATCATCATCATCATCATCATCGTGTCGTGCTTATAAGCATAGGATGTCATGCTTAAGCCATTTTACACGATCACCAGAACCGCGGATCATTTCTATGTTTATTTGGCCAGGCGGTCCACAATTGATCTCTTTGCCTTTCTCTTGCTCTCTTCAATCAATATCACCTGTTGATATCAAGTGCTCAAGTCTATTTATTACTTCTCACTGGAAATTTTTTTTTTTTAATTAAAAAAAAATATTGGCTGTCTACGTCTACTTGTTCTAATAATTGTATGACTATTATTTGCCCTATATGGACTGTTTCCTTTGTTTTTCTATCATTCCATGATATTCCTTGCATTCTTCTCAGAAAAAACATCTCTGCCCAAGTATATGTATTTTAGCTTGTGGCATTTCTCACGATCCTGCCCACATGTGCCCGCGTCTCGCCAGGGCTTGAGATTTCCTGTAAGCTCCCATTTATAGCCGTGGCCGTTCCCATTGGCTGCTGTTTGTTCCAGGGGTGTTAACAAAAGCCTTTCTTCCCCTGTTTGGCTGTCTCTACACACCGTGCAGAAGAAAGTTCCAGGCCCCCCCCCCCCCCCCCCCATGACAAGAGTGCGGAGATCTCTTTCCTGGCTGTCGCCGCTTACAACAACGGGGAAAATTATAAGGTATTGCTGGCCGCTCACGACGCGGAACATAGAACTCATAGGGTGTTGAAAGTAACACAACCTTACACACCTAGAACATACAGCAGCCCGTGGGAACGGCTAGAGTTTTGAATGGGAGCCGATAGGAAATCTCGCGCCCCGGAGAGATGCGCGCACATGCAGGGCAGGTTTGTGATGAGCACCGAAGAGGAGGAAGGAGGAAAAGGGCGAGTAGAAGGAGGAGGAGAAGAAGAAGAAGAAGAAGAAGAAGAAGAAGAAGAAGAAGAAGAAGAAGAAGAAGAAGAAGAAGAAGAAGAAGAAGAAGAAGAAGAAGAAGAAGAAGAAGAAGAAGAAGAAGAAGAAGAAGAAGAAGAAGAAGAAGAAGAAGAAGAAGAAGAAGAAAGAAGAAGAAGAAGAAGAAGAAGAAGAAGAAGAAGAAAGAAGAAGAAGAAGAAGAATAAGAAGGAAGAAGAAGAAGAAGAAAAGAAGAAGAAGAAGAAGAAGAAGAAGAAGAAGAAGAAGAAAGAAGAAGAAGAAGAAGAAGAAGAAGAAGAAGAAGAAGAAGAAGAAGAAGAAGAAGAAGAAGAATAAGAAGAAGAAGAAGAAGAAGAAGAAGAAGAAGAAGAAGAAGAAGAAGAAGAAGAAGAGAAGAAGAAGAAGAAGAAGAAGAAGAAGAAGAAGAAGAAGAAGAAGAAGAAGAAGAAGAAGAAGAAGAAGAAGAAGAAAGAAGAAGAAGAAGAAGAAGAAGAAGAAGAAGAAGAAGAAGAAGAAGAAGAAGAAGAAGAAGAAGAAGAAGAAGAAGAAGAAGAAGAAGAAGAAGAAGAAGAAGAAGAAGAAGAAGAAGAAGAAGAAGAAGAAGAAGAAGAAGAAGAAGAAGAAGAAGAAGAGAAGAAGAAGAAGAAGAAGAAGAAGAAGAAGAAGAAGAAGAAGAAGAAGAAGAAGAAGAAGAAGAAGAAGAAGAAGAAGAAGAAGAAGAAGAAGAAGAAGAAGAAGAAGAAGAAGAAGAAGAAGAAGAAGAAGAAGAAGAAGAAGAAGAAAGAAGAAGAAGAAGAAGAAGAAGAAGAAGAAGAAGAAGAAGAAGAAGAAGAAGAAGAAGAAGAAGAAGAAGAAGAAGAAGAAGAAGAAGAAGAAGAAGAAGAAGAAGAAGAAGAAGAAGAAGAAGAAGAAGAAGAAGAAGAAGAAGAAGAAGAAGAAGAAGAAGAAGAAGAAGAAGAAGAAGAAGAAGAAGAAGAAAGAAGAAGAAGAAGAAGAAGAAGAAAGAAGAAGAAGAAGAAGAAGAAGAAGAAGAAGAAGAAGAAGAAGAAGAAGAAGAAGAAGAAGAAGAAGAAGAAGAAGAAGAGAGAAGAAGAAGAAGAAGAAGAAGAAGAAGAAGAAGAAGAAGAAGAAGAAGAAGAAGAAGAAGAAGAAGAAGAAGAAGAAGAAGAAGAAGAAGAAGAAGAAGAAGAAGAAGAAGAAGAAGAAGAGAAGAAGAAGAAGAAGAAGAAGAAGAAGAAGAAGAAGAAGAAGAAGAAGAAGAAGAAGAATAAGAAGAAGAAGAAGAAGAAGAAAGAAGAAGAAGAAGAAGAAGAAGAAGAAAGAAGAAGAAGAAGAAGAAAGAAGAAGAAGAAGAAGAAGAAGAAGAAGAAGAAGAAGAAGAAGAAGAAGAAGAAGAAGAAGAAGAAGAAGAAGAAGAAGAAGAAGAAGAAGAAGAAGAAGAAGAAGAAGAAGAAGAAGAAGAAGAAGAAGAAGAAGAAGAAGAAGAAGAAGAAGAAGAAGAAGAAGAAGAAGAAGAAGAAGAAGAAGAAGAAGAAGAAGAAGAAGAAGAAGAAGAAGAAGAAGAAGAAGAATAAGAAGAAGAAGAAAGAAGAAGAAGAAGAAGAAGAAGAAGAAGAAGAAGAAGAAGAAGAAGAAGAAGAAGAAGAAGAAGAAAAAGAAGAAGAAGAAAAAAAAGAAGAAAAAGAAGAAGAAAAAGAAGAAGTAGAAAACGAAGAAGGAAGAGGAAAAGAAGAAAAAGAAGAAGAAGAAGAAGAAGAAGAAGAAGAAGAAGAAGAAGAAGAAGAAGAAGAAGAAGAAGAAGAAGAAGAAGAAGAAGAAGAAGAAGAAGAAGAAGAAGAAGAAGAAGAAGAAGAAGAAGAAGAAGAAGAAGAAGAAGAAGAAGAAAAAGAAGAAGAACAACAACAACAACAAACATTTTTAGACTAAAAGTGTCATCTCTACTGCAGCATTCTAACCCAGTTTTTACTGGCCTGGAAAAAAAAATCCTTAACTTCTTCACCTACATTACTTACCTCATTGTTTTCAGTTAGTCGCCGTAGTTCTACGCTAGACGTACCTGGATCTCTCGATCTTTTAGTCCATCCATGAAATTAGTATCTCTGCCCCACAAGTAATCGAGTCTGGACACGTTTCTGACTTCTACATTACAGGTGATTGACATGTAACCGCCCACAAGAGGCGTGGCCCCAGAAGGTACAATCTTGGGTGTTATCTTGCCTAGGACCTCCCCAGGTTGAACTGAATGAATTAAACTAATGTCAGTCAGTAAGA